GTTAAGGACAGATAATGAAGTTGTATACCCAGAAGAAGCTTATGGAGTATCTAGTGGGTGTGGGCTTGGGGTGGGAAGGAATGGAAAGATGGGGTTTAGTGAAAACCTTTTGCATTGGCTACAGATCTGCAGGTACATCCTACAATTTCTCCAGCTTTGCACCTCTGTGTTGAAGTGCTGAGAAGAAGAGAGATGTTCATAGTTCACAGACTGTGGTTCTGCCCTTCTCTCAGACAGGGACAGGGCAGTGGCTGTGCTGGGCAGGACTGGGTCCTCAGGTGTCCTTTGGTTCCAGGAAATGGCTTCTAATCTCTTCTGCTTTTAGCATGTGGAGTAGTGGAGAGCAAATTCAGATCTGTGGCCTGGGATTTTATGTTTCCTCAGAATTCCCTGCCTCTGGCAGAAAAAAAATAATGAGATCAGTTGCTTTAGAGAGCTCCAGTGGGCTAGGAGGAGGGGTGGTGTGTGCTTAGAGGTAGTGGAAAAGGAAGCTTAACCAGTTGGAAGCTTAACCAGTTGTCAATAGATTCCAGAGCTTGGCGATCATGTGTGAGTAGAACTATGTTCTGTGGGGTTGAGTCACTGATTTTTTAGGAAGTAGATAGCCAGACTTTCTTGTGAGACACCTTTGGGTAGACTCAAACTGCTAACCTTTTGGTTGGCAACATATTAACCATTTGTACCACCCAAGTACTCCTGACAGGCTCAGAGGAAGCACTTGCTGTCTTGAGGCAGCCCCTTTTCCATTTCATTCGGTCCCCAATCCTTACTGTGCTTAAGGATGTCAAAGAACCTCAGGGATTACATTGCATTTTTAACCAATTTATAGAGAAGTAAACCGAGGCATGGAGCTTTAGATCCTTATCCAACGTGGCAGTCATTTCTCATGTTTAGCTACTGGGGCAAGGGTAGGCTTTCCCCTTTTCTTTACATTTTGTCCCTGACTCCCGAGGGCTGGTAAATCCTTTAATCTAGCCTTCATCTTTTTGGCTGTTCATTTTTATTCCTCTCATCAAACAGTGCCCCTTGTTGTGTCCAGTCCCTAACACTTCAGCCCCTTAGGCCTGGGGACTGGGTGAGAAAGTGGGCTAGAAGGGAGCCCTCCCACCCCAACCCTCAGCAGTGGTACCCAGCAGGAGCTTTTGGAATCTACAGCAACTTCCAGGGGTTGGATATAGGGTTTGAGTTTTTTTCCCCTTCTTCATTTTGGTGAAATGAAGGCTGGCTCCTTGATAACTTTCACTGATGTATTTTTGTTCCTCCTAGAACAAAAAACTGTGATTTTCCAAGGGCTTCAGGCCTGCTGGAAGGGCTGAGATTGTCTAGAGAATGGGAGGCAAGGCCCTCAGAGTCTCTGGTCTGTTCTTGTTCTGAGACTGGACTAGAGAAGGGGACTGGTGGTGTTTACATTGTCCCTGCTGCCCTGGAAGCCAGGCCTTGTATCTTCTCAGCAGCCGCTTCGTTCTGGTCATCCTGAGCACTCCACCGTTCCCAGGGATAAACCTTTTCTGGAGTCAGACCTCATCTTCTGTATTCTCACAGCTGGTGGTGGTTCAGCCACCAAAAGTGTCCTGAGACACTTTTGAAAAGTTCGAAGTAGCAGAGACAGACACCCAAAGGACCTTTCATAGGGCAAGCTTGGAAACAGGTGAAATACTTTGTTGCCCAGCCACCCTGTCCAGCACACCTTTCCTCTGAACTCTGAAAGCTGAGAATAGACACAGTCAGCTCG